CCTAATAACCGAAACTACACGCTTAGATCCCAAGCTGGATCTCGACCTAATAACCGAAACTACACGCTTAGATCCCAAGCTGGATCTCGACCTAATAACCGAAACTACACGCTTAGATCCCAAGCTGGATCTCGACCTAATACCGAAACTACACGCTTAGATCCCAAGCTGGATCTCGACCTAATAACCGAAACTACACGCTCAGATCCCAAGCTGGATCTCGACTTAATAACCGAAACTACATGCTCAGATCCCAAGCTGGATCTCGACTTAATAACCGAAACTACACGCTCAGATCCCAAGCTGAAAAAAACTATCAATAAAGAAAAAATAAACATGATAAACTACTGAAAAATGCATTTTTATATTTTGTTTCAAAATAATTACAAAACACTATGGTAATTAGTATTTAACGTTAATCATGAGAAGTAAATGGAATTTTATAGCTAAAACATGCAAGGGTGTGAAAATTAAATCTTGGATATTTTGTGTTTGGCGATGCGAGTGATGAATTTTACCTGATAAAGAAAGTCGGATGAGGCAGAAGACAACGACTCCGAACTTTCAGCCTCAGTCAGACCGACCCTTGTGAAAGTTCGTGTAACTGGTGCAGAGCACACAGACTCAGCAGTAGAGCCACCGCTGTAACGGATCCTAGTACACGGGCTTGGTGCTGCTGACTGTTGAGAAAATAGCATCGCCGATTGATCTAAGTTAACGTAGTTTCCAGTGTCTCCATCATTATATTTTAAAGGAGAAAAAAATCCTGGAGAACGCTCTTTTGTGAATGGATGGAGCATGATGTAATCTGATCTGGACGTCGAATCACCACTAATCCGACTGCTACAACATACCTGGTCACGTAAGCTTAAAGTTGGAGAGGTAAGTGCTTTAGCTTTGGAAGCTGTTCTACGTCCAAGTGAATTACATTTGCCATCAAAGTGTGTGTCAAAAAAGTATACATCATTCACATTGTTATGAGTGTTGGCGAACGTTTCTGTCTTTCTTTTCCCATCACTACGCGTTTGGTCAGGTTGGCGGGAAAGTGTTTCATTAGCTAGAATAGTTGAAGAAAGAGCTATAGCACAGGTATGACTTCCGTCTAATTCGTCGAACCGACTCAGTTCGTTATCTTTGGTTATTTCTGTCAACTTTTCGAAAGAATTATTTCTGCATCTCTGTTCTAAAGATCCATCACTTTTTTCGCTACCATCAGATGAAACACTCGAAGTACTTATTGGCCTCTTAATGACACCGTGGCTCAAGGTCAATCCGGACATTGAATGAGGTCCGTGAACTCTGCGCACATCTCGAGCATGTAGCGACAACGATTCTGAGAATTTTGTGAAAGGCTTGGAAATCACATTCCTAGCACTTGGACATCGCTTTTCACCAGGAAAATCATTATCATTCAAATTACGATCCCCACGTTTCTCAGACACAGCAGTGAGAATTTCCTGGTTAAATCTGTGTCCGGCGGTGCCACTATATTTACTAACAGATCCTTTACAAACACCATTCTTCCTGTTTGGTGATCCCAACGAGTACGATTTTTTCCCTCTTATTCTATCGGCTTCAATATTTTTAACTCTTTCATCACTCGCATTATTTTCCACACTTCGAAAAGATGATTCATATTGTTGTAAGTATTTTTTCCAAGCAGCAGACGACATCTGTTGAAAGACGCTTGACTCCGTTTGCATCGAGCTGTCTGTCTTCTTGGTGTTAGTCCTTCTGCTTGTTGAAGATCCCTTCAGGTTATCTTCGTTCCTTATCTTATCGTTACTCAGTTTGCTGCTAGGATCACTATACTGTAGCGCATTCTTAGGCGGGAGATTTTCGCGCTTCGACCGTTTTGAGCTACCGTACACATTTGTTTCCGAGTATAACGAGATTGTCATGTTATCGTCAGTACTGGGCTCGGCTATAGTGTCACTGATTCCACTGTTGATAGATTTGCTGTCCTCGAGGCTGTAAAGAAAACACACAACTATCACATAAAGAATAACACCTTGAGGATAACGAAATATAGCGTAGCATGTTCTATGAAGAAAGAAGAGTTGCTTATAGATAGACTGTTCGTTTGGTACGAAGATATGACACGCGGAAATCTTTCCAAGAGTTGCTTATAGATAGACTGTTCGTTTGGTACGAAGATATGACACACGGAAATCTTTCCACGAGTAGTATCATGTCAAGTAATAGTACTTTTGATAATTCTGCTTTTGTTCTTCTATAACTCAACGTTGAAAATAATATATCGAAGTGAGGAGAAAACTCATTCACAAGATAATTTGATTTCCGCTGCTTATCCTGTAATGAGTTCGTTTATATGTATATTAATTGGTTACCTTACTCGAGTGTTGTTGTTGTTTTTTCTGAGAATGTTTCGTCTTCAAGTGAAACAAAATTATGGTAAGATCCATTTGTATTTTCAGAAAGAGTTATAGAACTGGCTGTTAAGCCTTGAGCGAAAGTTATATGCACGTACTGTACGGTACAATAAGAACGTGTTTACGATTTCAGATTAGTTTAGCGGTCTTTAAGTATATTAAAGCCTTTACTCTGTAAGAATAGCATTCTAACTGTATATCAATCTACAGAGGAAAAACGCCTAAAATGTTCTGGCCGAACGTACGTTTTGATAAAAAGTTTAAGAAAAAACGAACTTTACTACTCCAGATATTATAAATATATATTTTTTATTCAACCAACGTTTCGCCTTTGCGGCTTCCTCAGGGTTAATACAGTTGTGTATATTAACCCTGAGGAAGCCGCAAAGGCGTAACGTTGACTAAATAATATTATATATATATATATATATATATATGGAGTGTAAAGATAGTTTTTCTAAACTTTTTATTAAAATGAACGTACGTTTGTCGTTAAAATCTATTTACAGAATCGTCATACATATTAAAATATTGTCATGTATGTATCGTTCTTTTAAATGTGCTGGACATTTTAATTCTGTTAACTCTGCAGAAATACCAAGAATAACCTTTATACGTAGATTCTTCTATGTTCGTCATAAGCTACTCGTACACTGAACAAACATGAAAACACTAAATGTTTTCTTCCCTTTACAGTCGATAAAAAGTGACAATTTTCCATTGTATGCTGCAGTGCTTCGTTAAGCGAAGCACATGGTTACCATGGGAACAAAAATACAGCTGTAGCCGACTGATACAAAGTTTGAGAACAACACAGACGTTTTAAAGTTATGTTTCCGTGACAGGTTGTCTAATTCTGAAATTGATATATACCTTTCAGTAAAACAAAATATTAAAAATGTTGATGTGTTAGCTACCGGTGTAATTCAGTTATTTTGTTAGCCTGCAAAAGACTTATTTTAATATACAATTCAGTTGTCGTCTGGAAAAAAAAAAACAACAACAAAGAAAAAAAACAGCTTAAACTTAGTTTTATTATACTTCGGTATCACACATGTTTTTACTGCTGGTGACAGGTATTGGTTTCTATGGTAGTATGTTGGAAGTTTTACTCTGGAAGTGTATCTAGATTTTACTGCAACTAATAGTTTCGGTTTCCAAGATCGGCGTGTTTCTTAATCTCAAACACTCATAGTTTTTTGTGTTAGTATGTTTTTTATTTACCGTTCCTAACTAATGATCCATAATTAGAAGATAAAATACTGACTGTCACAAAGAGGTCGTGTTCTCTCATCTTTAGTGTCGCTGTCAGGGTATTAACTCCTAGTTCTATGTGTTGTAGTTTTCAAGTGATATCGATAAGATATCGGGTGCTGTTGGAGAATAACTGATGTAAATTTACCCTAGGGAATTATTTTCCTATAGGTAGTGGGTTGTCAATTTCATCGTTATCTGTAAAGTATTAAGTACTGTGGTGTAAAATAAATGTCGCTTTTAATCTCGAGCGTTAGGAAATAACTGCTATTACATCTTCATTGTGAGCATGTAAAAACAGAACCAAACAAGACCTTCGACTGTCTAGAATATTAGTTCACTAGGTGTAACATTCACTCTAAAATATTAGTTCACTAAATGACACATTCACTCTAAAATGTTAGCTTACAAAGTGCATTTTGTACTCTAGGGTATTAGTTCACTAGGTGTAACATTCACTCTAAAATATTAGTTCATTAAATGACACATTCACTCTAAAATATTAGCTTACAAAGTGCATTTTGTACTCTAGGTATTAGTTCACTAGGTGTAACATTCACTCTAAAATATTAGTTCATTAAATGACACATTCACTATCAAATATCAGCTTACAAAGTGCATTTTGTACTCTAGGGTATTAGTTCACAAGGTGTAACATTCACTCTAAAATATTAGTTCATTAAATGACACATT